AACACTCACAACCCCGATCCACACCGCACAGATGCCACTAGCACCCCAAGGACCACCCTGCGCTTCACCTAGCATACAGCAGCGCAGCTTGGCTATGGCTGCGTGCTCCCTCCTACTCGCCCGTGAGAGCGTGAGTGCCAGCCAGCCAGCGGATTGCACAGCAGCGCTCACGCAGCATGCAGCCAGCACCCGAATGCCGAATGAGGAGGCAGGCCCTTCCCTATATCAAAGTGGCCTGCTTGCGTCCAGTCCAGGAAGCTTCCAGTAGGCCCCTGTAGGCACAGGCCCAGTCACGAAGAGARCARGCCTTGGGCCTGAAGTGGTTGCATGCGCCCAACTGCTTTCGGCCTGTGTTTGGCCCGGTACCCGTATCCAGCCCAGGGCCTGCTTCACATTCATTTACACAGGCGGCCCAGGGCCTGGATTCATTCAATCAACTGGCGCAACGCAACTGTCTGAATTTCCCCGATGCGGGGTACCCTGAAGAATGAGGCCTGAAGGGCCTGTCGTGCCTGCCTTCACTTAGGGCGGCCGACCTTGTTGCAGATAGGGCCCCGTAGGGGCTAAGCGGGCGTAGCCTCGCAGAGTGTTGGGATCATGGCCAGAAACAATCTTCAGAACAGATACGGCGATTCAAGACTTGGAATTTGATCCAGCAGAGTGGCCTTGGACACCAGACAGAAGCAGAAGCCTCAAAACGAATGTCCCCATTCAGGAATACACAGTAAAACTGGGATAGAACTCACTCCTCAAAACAAAGGATCCTGACCCAACGATCAAGAACAGATAGTAGAAGTTAATAGGTCAAGACGCTAGTCACATCCCACAAATACCATGGAAGAAATTCAAGTCAATCTGCCTGGTTAAAATCAGAAGCCTCCAATGGCTCATCTCATATGTAGCTCTTCCGGACACCCAGTGGCTGCATATCAGAAGAAGTAAGAACGACCCTAACAGTTCAGATTTACGCGCGGTATGTTCAAAAAATGAACCAGAAGATATGCTACATTGCCTGATACGCTGTAGAGAGGCGACGGAATACTGGGCAAGAGCCTCGGATCTCTGGGACTCCATCTTCTCAATCCCCCTCCCTGAACATCCCATCCAACTACTTCTATGGACTAACATCGCAGCTCAATTCCATAAGACAGAAAAAATGCGGTTTGGAATGATCAGAAAGACAACTCTGTGGTCCATCTGGAAGGAAAGGTGCTGCAGAACCATTGAGGGACTCTCAACTCCAAGGGAGAAGGTATGGGTGGAGACAAGGACACTGATTCAGGCAGAGATTCTTTGCAAGTGGCATAAGACAAGACAATCCATGCCAGATGACGGCGAGCAACAGAAGAGAATCAAGGCAAATTTCACTGAGGTGTGGCTTGCAAGGGGCAAAGTGGCAGAGATAATTGACTCTCGCATACGGTGGAAAGACTGGCACAACTCAGAAGCAGGGAGGAGAAGGCAGAGTTCCCAGCCAGCAGAAGGACTAGCTTCATCACAGGTCACATAATGTTGGAGGGCGTAATCCGATTTTGCATCTTCAGTGGCTTCTTTTACCTTTCTTGCTTTTTACAGGTCATGCAGTAGACCTGAGAGGAAA